TCATGACACCCTCCATTGTAGCTTGGACTGCTTCCTCCCAGTAGCAAGACAGAGGCCTGTACATACATTTCCCTGAATATTCTGTCGACAAAAAGTTTTCCCCAATCAAATGCAGTGCACTCTTGTGCAGAAAGGTGATTTGCAGAAAGCACGGATAGCTGAGTTGGGGAATAAGCAAACAGCAGAGTCCAGGGTTGACTTTCTGAATGGGTAGTAACCTATCATTGCTAATATTTTTCAGGATCCCAAAATACTGAGAGTTCTCCTCAACATCCCCATATCCCACATCAAAAAGCAGAACCCAACCCTGCAGGAACTGATCGCCAAGCTTATACTGATGTGGGCAAATCTATCAGTTCTGGGTTGAAAACTAGTCCGGGGGTTGGGGAGGGAGGCTTGAGAGCTGCACGGTAGGAACAAGGAAGTAGACAGACACAGAAGAGGCAATGAGGCTACTGAGACCATTAGCTGTTTCACAGTTATAGACGCTGTTGGCCTTGTCCCAAGCCCTAAAGAAGGCAGAGGGATGGGAGGAAGTGAGGGCAAGGAGTGACATGCAGACTTCCAAGCTGGAACCTATCCAGAGGTTTCCTCCCACCCCCACCCCATCAAACATATGCAAATGGCAACGGTAATAAACTTAGATAATGATAGAGTCAGCATTTAAACTCACCATAGAATGTATAAATTATAGGGGAGCTGTTACAGATGAAAAGGCTGAATGCTTTCTTGTTGGGGGAGAGGGTATTCTGATTTGCAGGTGGTAAATGAATATCTCAGGCCAGTGAAGGAGTCTTACAGAAGGCTTTTCACGAGGAAGAGAAGTCTAAAGTCAGGCTATGCCGTTGCTGGGCATCAAAGTTGCTCTAAGTAAGTTGGATGGTCTTTGTTCTAGCTGGGCAAAGCAGCCAAGACTCCCCTTTTGCACCACACCTGCTTACTCCACCATCACAATCTCCCTTGCTTTTCCTAAATCTGCCAGGCACACTCTTCGTCTGCTTTGGATGTTTCTGCTGTCCGCATCCTTTTTCCTCCAGACAACGATATGGTTTTTTTCTTCACCTCCTTCAGATCTTTGTTCAAAGGTTCCTTTCTCACTGAGGCACATACTATCCATTGTTATAGTTCTCTGTGCCCTTTGCCCTTGTCCAGTATTTGTCATCTAACACACTATATAATTAACTTGTTGCTGTATACTTTACTTATTTATTAGTTGTACTATTTACATCTGCCTTCCTCCACTAAAATATGAATGCCATTATGGTTAAGACATTTTGCCCTTTCTGTCTCCCCTCCATAAGAACCCCTTTCCTAAATGCCTACAACAGAGCCTTGGACACATGGGTTCTTATTAGTTAAACATTTGCTGAGCACATGAATAAAAGTTACCTCCTTGGGAAGAGAAACTTCTTCCAAACAGAAGTAGTGGAAATTTCCAAGATGCTTTAACATTCCTGTCTCCAGGCCTCTCTCCTTTCCCAAACATGCAGTTTGTTACTGACATGGGAAACAACACTCTGCCCTATTAATACAATGCATATGGTTCTGAAACGTATCTCTCAAGTATTAAAGGGAAACCAGAGAAGCCCAAGACCCTGGGGGAAAGATGCACCAGTTTGATTTCTCCAATGTTCACATCCAAATCTACTTGGAAAGTAATTATGAAATATTACTTTTAAAACTTGGAATGAACTTGCATCCCATCCAATTATCTTATTTGACAAATAAGGCAAGGGGAGATTAAACGGCTAGCCCAGGCTCACACATCCAATTAGTGGGAGCAGTGAAATCAAACCTTATTTCTGTTAATCCCCTGTCCAGCATGTTTCTTTTTCATATTGTCTCCTGTGCGGTTATACTGCCGAGGGTTTGCATTAGGCATCTGTGCAGCACTCTCTGAGCAGTTGCTAGTTAAGGACTGTTTCAGGGATCCATTTTTAACAGCACCCAGGGTACCCTATTTCAGCACCACTCCATAATGGACAGCAGCTGGTTCGGCTTTTTCTAAGGTTTGCATTGCATCTGTGCAGCACTCTCTGAGCAGTTGCTAGTTAAGGACTGTTTCAGGGATCCATTTTTAACAGCACCCAGGGTACCCTATTTCAGCACCACTCCATAATGGACAGCAGCTGGTTCGGCTTTTTCTAGCCAGTCTATGCTTTACTGAACATTTGATCCTATTCATTTATATTTACATGATTAGCCAGTGTTTGTCATTTGTCTTCAAATTAAGTATTTTCAGAGGGCTTGATGATCCACGGCTATTTCTCTATAACTTGCATGTATTGTGGGCTACACAGATTTTTTAGTTTGTAACATTATGGTAGAAACGCTCAAAGCAAATTCTAAAACTCAGCAATTCCTACAAGGTTAACAGACACTTTCATATTAGATAAATAAACACACATGTACTAATTTAAATGAATATAAACTACTTTCCTTTGGTGCCTGTTAAAAAAAGTGTCCTACAAATTTTCAAGGGAGGTGCAGGATGCATCTTTTTTCAGTCTAAATTGACCATGTAGCTTTTCGCTATATAGAATCTCACAGATCTTGTGAGAACATGTTTGGGAAATGCTTCTCTATAAGGTCAAAATATCTAAAGGCAGGAGGAAAAGAGCATTGGAAAAGCAACGCAGGGGTTAAGATAAATACAAAATAAACTGGCAGGCTGTGCAGTCTTAGAGGAGCTGTGCCATAGTAAAACATAAGAATGAATAAAAAATTCACCAGATCTCTCAAGATAAGAGGCCTCTCTCCTAGATCTAGGAAGTGAAACTTCCCATAAAATACCCCAGCTACTCATTAGCAGGGCCCAAGTCTCTGAAGTTCTAACTACAAATCACCAAGGAGCTAAAATCCACCCATAAGCCTCTGATTTTTGCAGTCTGTAACTTTCCAGAAGAATTACCTTGCCCACTGAAATGGCTTCTGCCCAGGGCTAGAAAAGTTTGAATAAAATGCATTTAGCTACTATCTGAATATCTGAAGTCATTGAGCTAAATGCAAGAGCTTTTTGTTAAAAATCAGACTCAACTAGATATTGAGGTTTATTACATACTTTCTCCCATTTTCTTTCTCCTTTTATGTAATCTCAGCTGGGCTGATTTGCCTGCATTCTTTTCCATAGAATCTACTTATTACTCCCAAACACAACAGAGAATCACCAACCCTGTGCAGAGGGGTGTATGGCTGCATCTGGATTAGAAAAAGCAGGCTATTTATACCCAAATTAATAGTCAGATTTTAGCATAACGCTCACAGCCTTTTTGCAAAGAGAATGAAAGAAAAGAAAATGCAGATCCTTTTCCATTCTTCTTTACTGTATTATTTGCTCCACCGTACGGTTGTCTCATGGCCTGGAGCAGTGTGATCTAATAATGATATGCTGGGTTGCCACAAAGCAGGAGAAAATCCAGCTGCACTGGAGATTTCAGGGGATATCTTCGACAGCCGGTCCAGCCCTCACCCCTGTGTGTATCTCAGGGAAAATAATCAGGATACTGCTGATCTCGCTTTTGCTTAATTCCTCCCAGGACTAAAGCTGACTCTAGGTCAGGGTTATTCAGAGCCTCTTGCATCTGTAACAACGAGAGGACCAGAAATGTTGGACAAGGCCCAAAGTAAACAAAGTGGAAGCCACAGAAGTCGTTGGGTCCATTCCAGTTGGGAGGCCCTCCAAGTTCACATTCGAATTGGCCTGACCATGACCTCCCAGCCCAAGTACAAGGAAGGGCCAACAAGTCTACCTCTTTCTGCAGCTGTGATTATCCCATGTGTATTGTCAAATGGGTGGGAAATGCTTCAATGGGAGAGATTCATGAGTTAAACACATGAACTTTTAAAAGAGATGAGTGACCCATTCAGAAACCTAAAGGGAGCAGAAGAGACTGCAAATTCTCTGTGCCAGTTCTAGAGAATATGCAGGTTATTTCAGCTGTTCCGGGGAGACCTGGCAAGACAACCTGCCAGGGCCCATCAACCACTAGCCTTATGAATCTGTCTGTGCCAGCAGCCTGTGTCATTCTCAGGACAAATCCCATACTTTTTTGTTTGCACCTGCTAAGTCTCAGTGCCAAAACAGTGATCCAGGCCCATTCAGCTCACTCTGGTAAGGCATAAAAATTCCTGGCTACTTGTACCTGATTCCTTCTCCCTTTCATCTTCTGGTACACTCAGTCTGGTGTGAATAGTGACTGTGGGAAGAAATATGAATGCCAGAGATAGAAGTCAGTGACTCTACCGCCATTCCGACGTGTCGTGGAGCAAGGTTTCCAGTTCTCCCGACTGATACTAACTTTCAAATTTGGACTCTATTAAATCAATGTAAACCTTTCATTCATATTCAGCGACACATAAAGTCCACTACAGACCCTTAATCAGATAGTCTTTGCCTGAAGTTGTCATGACAAACTATTTCTTTATGGATAGAGAGACCTCTGCCAGGCATCCCCTGGATTCATATTTCAGGACTATGAAGAAACGGGGAGGGAGTATCACTCTTAATCAAAATCCTTGGAGAAAAACATTGCAGGGTTCAAAGCCAGAGCACTCAACCGTGTATCAAGTCTCAAGAAGAAATTAAATAAAAGGAAATTTTGGTGCACAAAAACATAACACACATAAAACGCCTACAATCTGGGAAGTTTTTTTTTTTTTTTTTATTTTTTACAAGAAAGGCACTTTAGAAAACTTATCAAGAAGGTAAGATAATAGCGCTCTTTACATGGAATTGTTGTAGACCATATAAGAATGCATCTTCTTAATTAGGGAACCATCTTCCAGGGAATGGACAAAAAATAACATGAAATAAAATAAAATATAAAACCCTAAATAGGTACATGCCACTATATAAAGCCATCTATCAGCAGATGACTTTAATCAATAACTTAAAATTGAATACACGTTAAAGATGAAACATGTAATATAATTTTCTAGTGCCTCAGACTACCAAGTTAAAAAAAAAAAAGTAAACAGGCTTTTTCGAAACGAACACTTACCTTATGCATGGGAGAGTAATACAAGCAGCTATAACACACCAGTTCCAAAATTTCAGCAGCCTTACAAAGTGTATCTTTGTAAAAAAAAAAAAAAGTCACTTAAATGGCATCTCAGTGTAGGGATTTCTGGTAGGTAAGCTGCTTTACTCCATTTGGAGATTAAAGACAGGTTCCTTGCATTTTGTAGAGACCAACAACCCTTTGTATTACTCTAGCAAATAAAAAAATAAAAGTCATATCCTTTCTTAAGATTATTGGCCTTGAAGTGACATCAATTTGGTTTATTCCATTAGCAAGAATGAGTCACACGGCCTCCATAGGTACAGAGAGACAGGGAAATAAAATCTACACAGAGATCTCCTTTACAGTCACAACTCAATAGTGTAGGTGGACAGCAATGCATTTTGGTTTAACTTCTGCTATCTCTGCCACAGTGATACATATTGAAACAGACTTGGGTGATCTGACTATGATTAAAACCCTATCAACTGCTCTGCATATTTAATGAAAAGGAGAGAGGTGGCTCATGAGAAGAGATAAAACATATTACAAAATAAGAAATATCTAGCTAGCTCTTGTTCCAAACTGGCTGCTTCATTTTGACTAATTTTAAACTATTAAAAATTACAAAGGGATTTCCATTTAAAGCTAGCAAATAAGGGTAATTTTTATTCCTTAAGTGTCCTAAATTCACAAAAATAGTATCTTCAATAATTAAAAAATTCTTGTAAAATAAGCAACAGCTATACACAATAAAACATATATATCAAATAATAAGAAATCTGGACTGAGATGAAGGATTCTAAGAGCTGATATAGCTCCTTGATTCTCCAATAAAACCCTTAAAAATAATTAGCCAGGAAATTCTGGCTAACAAGCCATTGGTTAACAAAAGTTTGGAAAAGGGAATAAATACTGTAGTACTTACAGGGTGAAACGTTTAAAGAAACAATAATGTTGACATCTCATCTTTATCGTCTTCCACCTTAACCCCTACACAAGTAGATGACAGGTGCTTAAACAGCAAAAACAAAAAGAAAAAAGAACAAAAATAGTGATGGTCAGATCACAAATGCAGAAGTTCCAGAGTTTCTGAGATCTTACCCTAAAAGCCAAACTAACAGCTTAAATGCTGAAAACTGATTTGTCGTGACTGTTAGAGTAAAGGAAACAACTGAATAAGGGAATGTGAGCAAGGCTTGTGATGGATGACCTTATTATGCATTCAAAGAATCACCATCAAGCACAAGGAAATGTTAAATAAGTGGTTCTTCTCCTTAGCCTTGAGATCTTATAAACAACTTATCACTTTCTCTTTAGATAAACACAGTGAAGCGCTGTGATCACACATACAACAGTGCTTCCTTTAGATTATAATGAAGCTGAAACATTCCTATCACCTAATGAGGTCATTGTCATTATAATGCAGTCCAATGCATTACTCACACGTTTTTGGTGACGCTTGTGTAGACCCTGCAGGGCCAGTTGTATGAAAGGATAGTATAGCTAGGTGTGGTGGCACACTCCTGTAATCCCAGCACTCAGGAGGCTGAGGCAGAAGGGTCACCATGAGTTTGAGGCCAGCCTGGGCTACACAGTGAGTTCAGGACCAACCTGAACTACAAAGTGAGACTGTGTCTCAAAAACAAATTTTTAAAAAGGATAGCATATAACATTACATATAGCACATAAAACTTGGTAATAATGCGAAACAACTCTATCATTGGTTTACGTACTTTCTATATAATAATTTTTATTGTTTATTACATCTTATTCATTTAAAAATATTTACTATAGGAGAGTATGCCACTTTGTACTAGCACAGCCTCATATAGCTTGTCTTTACTATAATTTGTCTTTAGTTGCAGCAAGAGGCTACGCCTATATTGAGTGGCTGATTACAGCACGTGGGACTGTGTAAGTTGATGATGTTTACCTAATGACAAAGTTGCCTAGCAATGCCTTTCTCAGAACTTAGCCCGTCATTCACCAATACCCCAATGTTATAATAAAAATGGATTATGTTCACTCAAAGGAGAAAAGTAAAGTGTCAGAGGTAAAAACGATCCTTCAGTTCAGGTTTCATAAAACTCCCCAAAGGTATGTTCCGATAAATACGTATTCACAATAAAATCATGAAACTCAGAGGTAAAAAGAAACCATTAGTGAAAGTCAGCCAGAAATACTAGTGTCAACAACAATAAAATAGACTCTAGACACTGGGATTATTAGACATGGCACTGTGAATTAACTACTTAAATATATTTAAAGTATTAAAAGAAGGAATTTCTAAAATAATAAAGGAGTAATATATTGGCTCTTACTAAAGGAACGTTATAAAGATCTGTTTTTAAAAAGAAAAAAATAGCAATACAAAGATATGAGAGAAATAAAGTGAACATGTGGATAAATTTTAAATAAAAGACTCCATAAAACAATTTTGAAGTGCCTAATTTATGATGCCTATAAAAAAGAGCTAAAAGAGAAGACACTGAAAAAAATGGTTAAAGGTGACTAGAATTAAACCATTCTAAGCTCTCATATTATTTGAGGAAAGGTAAAAATAATATGCTGACATTGTATACATTTTTACAAATTCAAAGGTAGCCACCAAAGGAACAGAAACAAAAGTACTTTCTAAACCAGTAGAGAGGTTAAAAAAAAAAAAAACAAAAACAAATAAATAAACAAAAATTTAATCTAATTCAAGGAAAAGTCAGAAATGAGAAAAAAGAATACAGCTAAAGCAAAACAAAGAAACAGCATAATATAAAAGAGACAAAACCTAAAATATACGAGTAATTAGAATAGTTAAAAGTAGACTTTTTAAAAGGCATAGAATGTCAGAATTCTGTAAAGCTACATGGTATATGCACAAAATATACCTAAAAAACATGAAGAATAAGAAAAGTTGGAAGTAAAAATGTAGAAAAAAATATAAAAAAAGCAAACATTAAGCCAAAGAAACCTATATCATTGAAAACTGGACTTTAAAGAGAAAATATTACTAAGAGAAAGAGAGCCAATGCCTAATGGTAAAAGGACCATGTCTCCAAAATGATAGAATTCTTTTACATTTGAATACACCTAATAAAATAATTTCAAATGTACAAAGTAAAGAAAGAAAAATACAAGCAACAATGAAAGAACCACAGAGAGAGAAAATTGATGGTTATTGGGAAACTTTAATTCAGTATCTCAGAAATTGATAGTAAGGTATGAAATCTTTCAGTAGTGTGGTTAACAAAATAGTGCTGATAAGTCATTATGTAAAACATTCAACCAACAAATCTGTAACTTTTTTTTTTTACAAATGTAATGGAAACATTTGTAAAAACTAATCACATGTTGAGCTACAAAGCAAATTTCAACTATGGTGTAAATATCAAATAGTTTTTCTGGTGTGAAAAACTAAAAGCATAAATAAGATCCAAATGGTATAATTGACCATGTGAAATAGGAAGAAAAGGGCTAAATGTGTAGGGGAAGTGGTTGGAGGAGAGGAAATAAGGGAAAAGAAAAAATCTAAGAAAACAAAAAAGTGGGGGAAAAAAGCTTGTTTATTTTTTGTTTGTTTGTTTTTCAGCTTTAATTGAGTTTATTGGTACATTTTAGGGATACAGTACAGTTACATTCATTGTTGGGATCTCGTACCTTTACATGACAGGTCTTGGTTCTCATTTTTTCCCCTTGTCCCTGCCCTCCCTTCACCCTCTCCTCCCCTCCCCATCTACAACCACTTTATTTCCATCTTTTCATTATCTCATATTTTTTTCTTTTCCCTTTTTACCCTTCCCTACACCTTTAGCTCCTTTATTCCCATTTGACAATGTCAGTAATCTTATTAGGATCTTCTGTATTATTGCAGATTATTCACACCAGAGAAACTATAGGAAAAGGAAAAGGAAGGGGTGGTGAAGGGAGGGCAGAGGGATGGGAAAATAATGAGAACCAAGATACAGTATGTAAAGGTACAAGATCCCAGTGAGGAATGTAACTGCACTGCATACCTAAAAACTACCAATAAACTCAATGAGAGAAAAAAAAAAAAAAGAATTGCTATCACAAAGACTAGATTTTTCTGACTACAATAAATCCCAAGTGGAAATTGAGAGTGTGAACATACATGTATACCTATACCTTCCTAAATAATTTATGAGTAAAGAAGGAACAGACTGCAATGGAAATTACATGACATTTAGACCTGAGTAGCAATGAAATAAACACTCATCCAAACTGGTAGGACATAGGCGAAGTGCTGGATGGAGATAACCTTGTAAATTTCAACATCAAAAAGTAGGAAAAAAATGATCCTTATAAGAAAATCAAGCAATCTAGAAAGTTAGAAAATAAGAATTTTTAAAAAGCCTACTATGATGGAAAGCAATAATCAATTTTAAAAAAGAGAAATTAGTGACATAGAAAATCCTATGGCAACTTACCCATGTTAGTCACAATGATGTTAAAAGTTGACAAGAGCACTCAATGCACTAAGCACTACAAATAACTTTTGGGCTCTAGTTCTTAAGTCACTAACATGCAACCAAAGACAATTAGATATATAAGAAAGGCCTCTCATGAAGAGCAAATCAAATTGAAAAATTGGAGGTGGGGCAGCAAGTTAGACAAAGCAAGACTTAAGGATACACTATGTTTTCGGAGGGGCAGATTGCAGGAATATAGGCGAAAAAGCCCAGGATAAAATCTGGATAATGAGCACTGTAAAATCATCATATGCTTATCTGTGGCTGATGATTACATGCTTATCATATATCATGGGCTCGAAAAATGTATCTTGCTGTAGCCTTAGGAAAATGTTATTCTCATTTACTGCATTCTTAAGAAATCCCCAACTGACCGTATCCCTTCCTAGAAACAAAGGCTAAGACCCTGATTGGCCTAGACCACAGTAATCAGTGAAACAATTATTTTAAGAAAGCATCCTACCCTATAAATATGAAGCACACTGCAAAATCACTGGGCATACCCAGCAGGATACCCTGTATCTTGCAGTTCACTCTGTTGCTAAGTAAGATAGCTCTTTTACTTTCTCTGCATTTGCAATACTTTAAAGAAACTTTTGCTTTGCACCATACCAGTCTTGACTCCCCCATTGTCCTTGAAGAGCCTTCTTCATTCGCTGCTGGAGTGAAGGCAAGGACCTAAAAAAAGACAAAGGGTCATTACAGGGGACCCACCCCTCACAGGACATAACACTTTGATGGAAGATAACATAATGCTGGAATAAAATGAACATATAGCAAACAAAATTAATTGTACAACACCAAAAATCTAAATATCAACAAAGGGGGTTGCCAAATTATGTTATAGGTCTTTCCCATAAGGTGAAATGGTAATAAACTTATCACAATAGGAAAAAGAGTCAACTTACAGAATTATTTCAATATGACTAGAATCCAAAATTTTAAAATTAGGAGGAAATTATCAATGAAATAATTCAAGGATTTTTTTACTAATGAAAAATATGATTTTTCAAGATGACAGTGTTCTTCAGAAGGGATGAAAGTACAGGTACATTCTATGGAATATTATAGCAAAATTAAAAAACTATTCAGGATAAAAATATTTCCTAAAACCTCCAGAATAAAAAAAAGGAGATATAGATAGGATCAAGAATCATAATGACTTCAGATATAGCTATACAATGGAAAACTAAAGTGATTAAGCAATACTTTCAAAATTTTGCAGTAAAATATTTTATAAATTAGATTTATACAGTAACCAAATATCAATTTATGGATAAAAAAGAACATATTTTGTTATCCATAATATTATATTTTGCATCCACAAAAATGAATGAAGACATCCATAATTTCCTTCCTGATAGAGAAAAAATATTCACATACTATTAAGTGCAAAAAGTAAGAACAATAAAGCTATGTACAGCTTACTATCATGTGGAAAAATTTAAAACTACCCATCAGATACAGATAATCTAAAAGGTTTTCCTGCCACACTTCTTTTCTGAGAAAACTATCAAAGAATGTGTCCCACCAAAACTAGGAAGTAAAATGAAATGGAAATGCATGACACATAAAAACTTAAAGCATAAAGTCAAACAAAGTTACCCTACACCTAAAGTAATGCAGAATGGGGCTTCCAGAATGATGTATCCACAGCAGGGTAAATAGCAAACTATTCAAATTGAATTTGTAAAATATTAGGACAAAAAAAAGCTCAAGATCACATAAAAATATCATCCCCATCCCACCTCAGGAGCATACAGATAGGCATAATAACAGTCCAGGGAGAGACCTTATTCATGCTAATGAGGTCTACAAGGGTACTTGTAGGCAAAGTCTAAGAACTTTGACAAGAAAGGATATATTGTAAAAGAGGCAGATTTGCTAAGCCTGATGACTCTCTTTTTATCAAGGAATTAGCAGAAACTTAGTCCACAACGTAAGATAAATTATTATATTTAAGTATGTATTTTATATATGCACAGACTATCTCTAAGAAGATACAGCTAGTTGCCTCTGGGAAAGGGAAATTTTTTTAACTCATTTTTTTCCACTTTTTAAATTTACTCCCTTATTTCTTTTGAGTATTATAATATGTGGTCATTGGGCCCAAGTGAATAAAAATGAATATATCCCCTATAATACCAAAAGATCTAATAATTTCACTGCTGAACATGTGTAAAGTGAATCATATATGAAGTTATTTGTTCCAGTGTTGTTTATAGTAGTAAATTTGGATATAATCTCATGTCTTTCAATAAAAAATTACTAAAATAAATTATATATATTCCATATGAGATATTTTACATCCATAAAAACAAATGAAGAAAGCCATAATTTCCTGATAGAGAAAAAATCTCCATATACTATTAAGTGCAAAAGGTAAGAATAATAAAGCTGTGCATCATTTGCTATCATTTGGGAAAATTTAAGATACCTATTTACATATCCTGATGTTTATTTATATATTGTACCTTCGTATCTAGAAACATATAGGAAAAATTTATAATATTAGTTATTAGAGGACAATATAGTTGAAAGACGGTAAACTGAGAATTTTTGCTTTGTATCATTTTCTATCTCCTGAATTTTAGCTATGTAAATATGTTCCCTATATTTAAAAATGCACAAAATAAAAATTCAAAAATCAAGACAAGGAAGAAACTATAAAAAGAAAGAACATAATATTTGAAATTAAAAACTGACACAATTCCTAATACAGAAGTGAAGTAAAAAGTATAGATTATTCTGAATATATTCTAAAGTATAGAGAAAATTGATAAATTCCTAAATAAATATACATTATCAGAACTGGCTTAAAAATTTTTTTAAAAAAATAAGAAATATAAAAGACATTGGGCCTTCAAATTTTAAATGTTCCACGAGAAAACACCACTTTCAAACTGTTTATATATGAATTCTAACAAATATTTAAAGAACAAGATGTACAGTTATGAGTAACTATTTCTATGCTATCCCAAATCTCTGCAAGTTCTGGCACCCAGTAGACTCAGCTCATTTTTGGGGCACTAGTACACTTAATTCTGAAAACAACATGCACAATATAAAAGGAAAAGCCTGAAGATGAATTTGATAAGTATATTTGCAAAATTCATAAAAAAGAAAATATGAGGGGGTGAAGGGAGGGCAGGGACAAGGGGAAAAAATGAGAACCAAGACTTGTCATGTAGAAGCACAAGATCCCAACAATGAATGTAACTGTACTGTATCCCTAAAATGCACCAATAAACTCAATTAAAGCTGGAAAAAAAAATGAGTCCTATATATTAAAATGGCACATATATTTTATAAGATATTTACCAAATTGTGTTTATTTTAGGACCACAAACATGGTCTTAGCTTTAGTTTGTATTATAATGTAACCCCCACATGACAGTTTAAAAGAGAAAAGCCACATGAGCACCTCAATAAAATGCAAAGAAAGCCTTAAAAAAATTAACATGCACTCAAATAAAAACCTTAAAGCAGTATACAAGTAAACTTCCTAAAGCAAATAGTCAAATCCACACAATTAAATTTCATAAGTGTTTGCAAAACACTCATAGCAATTCTTGGTTCAGAGTTGGTTCTTAATTAACGGCATTTAACATTACTCATCAAATTCTAAGCCTCTCCACATGAGTAAAAGATTGCTGCTGGATGTCTTGCCTATGTTCTTGTTGGTTCTAGAATGAACAGGGCTGAATCAAAAATTGAGATAGTTTTATCCCTTTATAAAGAGCTATGTCAGGTAGGACAAACATAGCACCTCTTAGCCTCAATTTTGTCAACTGTACAAATAAAGGATTTGACCAATCTTGAAAAAAATCACCTCACTCTTAGCTCTAGCTCTCTGATCTGTGAACCAAATCTAATGTATATTCTATGTTTAGAATTGATATATTGTTGGATCTGCTGAGAACAGCCACAAATGTATCATCTATTGGTTTATATAAAGGGTGATAGTAGTGACCTTGGATAAAGAATATAATCTAAAATAGTATTTGTAACACCAAATGGAGCGTAAACATTCAATAAGTTGTCCTTTGGACTGAAAATCTGCTAGAATACATTATTAGAGTTTAAAGGTGCCTAGAAACCAGCTAGTCCAATCTTCCAACCACCACAGAAGCCCTTCTACACATCCCTGCAACACTCACAGCGTGACTTGGCTATATCTGGTGATAGTGATTGCACTTCCTCAAAAAGTGCCTTTTTCACTTTTGCCATTGTCGTTAGACCACTCTTCTATGTTCATCTTGAGCCCAGATCTTTCTGTCTTGGACATAATGGCCCTTCATATTTGAAGACAGCTATTAAATTTCTTTAGTAAATCTCCATCTCAAGATGCGCACCCTTAATCAACTCAGTCATTCACTATCTAAACAATGCCCAGACCCCGCAACATCCTGCCTACCTTCCCTGGGTCTACTTTGTAGCTCATTTAAAATGTGGTTCCCAAATTAAGCATGACAGTCCGACTGTGGAGCGATAAATACTCTTCCTTACTGGGTGGGGCATTGGTCCCTTTTTAATGCCACCAAAGAATAGCTTCCTATTTGGAAAGCCCCATTTCATTACTGGTTCATACCACACTCGTTTCACAGGCTATGGCATCATTATCTGCCACACAAGGACTTAGATTACAAGATCAATAGTTTTCACCCTTTGAAAAAAATACGTGCGATTTCTTTCTCCATGTCAGATCACATGTGGATCTCCAGCAAGGAAAACACAACCAATGGACGTGTGTTTCCTTGTACCACACCTCATTTGCCCCCACCAACTTCCTGCCCATCACCTTGCCTTTTGAGGAGGTCTGTCAAACCCTGCCCAGAAAAATCACTAAACATCCCGATAACCTGTTCCTTAGAAAGCCTAATATTCTAAAATTCTGACAACAGAAAAAAAAAATACAATTGTTCATATGAATCGTTGCCATGGACTATAGCATAGAAGTTAGCAACACCGATTCAAGTCTCAGCTCTGCCTCATTGTGAAAATACGATGTTGGAGAAAATTTGGTGCTGTTTCATCTTAGGCTGGAAGTATAACTTCCCTCACGTTACATGGACCTTGTAATAATTAGATGATTTAACAAAGAGGGAACCCTTAGAAAAGTACCTGGAACTATGTAAACCTCTATTAGCTGCCAGGTCAGATCGTCTCAATCTTGGCCCACACAATTAAATTTTGGAACTAAACTCAGGACATTTAACTCTTCTAGATAGCTCTTTTCTTCCTAGTATAGACCTGGCCTTCAGGATTCAAGCCCCAGGTAATTCTGAATCTCAGTTCTTTAATCTTTCCTGTTACTGTCCCGGTCTCTCCCAGGACTGTGGCACCTTCGTTTCCGATAAGCAAATCTGCTCTGCTTTCATCCAGTTCCCCAGTATCTTCCCAAAGACCACATTTGATTTCACTGAGTGGCCATATCTAGAAAGATAATGTGGCACTCCTTTATCTCAGTTGTACATGCACATCATAAAGGTAATATTTGGGTAAAATTTAGTGACTTTCATTTGGACTTCCAGACATTGTGTAAGACATTGTGAAGACAAGAAATAATTAAAAATATCATTTATTACAGTGATTTGGTCATGTATAAGATTTTAGTGACTGGTAGCTAGTGAAACTTTGAGGTAGCAAATAAATTTTGGAAATGCCTAGAAACTAAA